GTCCGGGGGCCCTGGCGCGCCCTGGGACCTGGCAGATACCCGGGCTCCCGGCTACAGGCTGGGGGCCCCGGGACAGCGCTGACCACACCCCTTCCTGTGCCCTAATATGGGCGTCGAGGAGAGACTCCGGGGGCCGCCCCGCCCCCAGTCCTGCCCGCGGACTCCAGCCTGTTGCCAAGGCGATCAGGCCCCGCTCCCCGTGAGTCCCCCTCTGTCGGGCCAATGGAATCGTCCCCGGACCGCCAGCCTCCACAATCGCCTGCGGGCGCCGAGGGCTGAACCATTGTTGGGTGGGGGTCGGTGACTGGAGGCCTCGGCAGCTGGGCGTGTTCGGCGCACCCTCGTCTCCTGGGGGTCTCAAGCCTAGGTTCCTCTTCCGAGGCTCTGAACGCGGCTGGACCCAGGGTTGGGGCGCATGGTCCGGTAGGATTCAAGTGACGGAGGCAGGGCCGGGCTCCTTCCCCCGGGGCTGTTGCCACACTTCCTGCCGCAGCGCTCTTTCCCCAGCCTGTTTCTAAGGAAGGAGTGGGGTTGGGCGACCGCGCCCCGGCCGTCGGGCTGGGTCTAGGCACCAGGAGCCAACACGGTGTCAGTCAAGCCCTGGGTCACTGGGGGAGGGCTTTGAGGTGGGAACAGAGTATACAGGCACCTAGAGGTCACTCACGAGAAGGGGTGCCGATCATGGAAGATCCATCAGTCCTTGTCCCCAGGATCCACAAAGACCCCTCCTTCTTTTATGTCTCAACCGGGCACCCTCTGTCAGTGTCATCTCAGCTCTGAAGGAGTGCCCTGACCTTTCTAATTATCCTTCATCGGGGCTTCAACGGTGAGCCCAGTGACCCCCCAACCTCTGACAGTGTCCCAATCTTCTACTCCACGCATTTTCCTTGACTCAGTATACCCCAGGACCCTCACCCACTTTCTGCATATCTAGATTCCCCCAATTCTTTCCCATTCCCACTTGTGGGGGACTCAGTCTCTCCCAGAGACTCCAGGACCCCTACTCATTTTTTTGCATAGTGGGGTTCTCCAGCCACTCCCGTGTATCCCTTTGGTCTCTCCTCCTTCTCACTTTTCCTGGGGTCAGTTCCTCCCGTGAAAATTCCAGTCCCTTAACCCTTCTGGACTCAGGACCACTACTCAATTCCTGAGTCAGGCGTCACCCTACCCTTCCCGGGGCTACCCTGCTTAGCTCTCCTGTCTCTCCTTTGCGGGATCTCTCAGTCTATTCTCAGTCCTCCAGCCCCTCTGGGATACTCTGGATCCCTCAGGCCTTCAGCGCGCCCTCCAGGACCACCCCGCAACCACACACACTTGCTCTGTACCAGTTCCTCCTAACCCTCATTGCTTATTCCAGGGAAATTATCGGCTTCCCTGGAGCCTCTCTCCGTGTGCCTCAGACCTCTCCAGCACCCCCTTCGTTGCGCACCCCAGGGTCCCCTGAGCCCCTCCCCCTGCAGCCTTGCCGAGCCACCCAGCCCGTGGCCGCTGTTTACAAGGACACGCGCTTCCTGACAGTGACGCGAGCCGCCTCCTCCCCTTCCCCACGCTCCAGGAGGGGGGCGCGGGGGCCTGGCTCCGGCGACGGCCAATCGGAGTGCACTTCCGCAGCTGACAATCGCCGTATAAAGGCTTGTGGCTCCGGCTGAGCGGCTGGGACCTTGAGCGCGGCCAGGCCAGCATCGGAGCCAGCTGGGAGCAGGGAGCAAGGGGGAAGCGACACCAAGAAAGCGAGCGTGCTAGAGAGGGGTAGGGGGGCTCGAGAAGCCGCACAGAGCTTCCGCGCACTGCCGCCGCTGGCCTCTCCCAGCCCGTGCCAGCCCCCAGGAACCCGCGTCCAGACACCCAGTCCAGCTACCGCCGCGGACAGCGCGCCGCTCGCTGCAGCGTGGCCGGGTGCCCTTGGCCCCTTGCTCCGGCGCGATGTGCACAAAATGAACAGGCCCTTCTACCACGACGACTCATACGCAGC